TTTTCAATGAAAATTTATTGAAATTTTAATATTTTAATTTTTAAATTCGAATTTAAACAGTCTCACATTAATTTTTTGTGATTTATTTAAATTTTAACTAGAGCTAAATATACAGATTTTAATAAAATCATATGAGTAGGATGTGTGAATAATAAATATAAATTAAATATAAAAATGTATATATATATATATATATATATATATAACTATGTCAATATCATTAAACTTTAATTATATACGATATAAAGTAAAGAAAATGGTTGTTTTAATTTATTTACCAAAAATATGATTGTAAATTAACAAAATGTATTAGTTTTAATTTATGTGCCTACTATAATGTATATATTTTTATGTATACACATTAATTTTAAATAGATAGTTTCTAATATGTTATTTGATCCTGACAATCCGTGAATTACACTTCTTCAAATCGAAATGATTTTTAATATTGGAAGAACTATATGTATATATATATATATATGTATATATATATATTTCATTCAAATTAAATAATTTAGTCTTGATATTTATTCTTAATTTTTTTTAATGAAATATCACGACAGGTCCAATCATCTCTTTTTGAGTTTGTTCAAAGAATGAGAGATTTGATCATTCGTCTTATATTTATTTCTTCATAATACCCAGTTTAGCTATTATAATTTATCCAAACAAGATTTATGATCTTAGGTCTTTGGAATTTAGTTATAATCTGAACCAAACCGAAATCGAACTAGGTCCAAAGATATCTGAAATTAGTATAATATGTTAATATTTTTATATATCAAGATAATTTAGATATTTTATTATATTCGAAAGTTGAAGTTTTTTATTTTTATTCTGATATCATTTAGTTAGTTTAGATAGTTTAACTAATTTTAAGTTAGATTTATCAATAATTTAAATATTTTGACAATTTTGAGGTTTCAAAAATATTTTTTGGGACGATTCAGATTTTGGTTACAATCCGATCCAAAAAGAATCGGAACCCGAATCGAAACCGATCCGATAATTAGTAAAACTTGAATGGGTCTAAAAAAACATAATACCAATAATTAGAAAATACGAATCAATCGGACCAAAACCAACAGATCTCCGAATGCCCAGACATATGATATATTTAAGAGACTAATATTTTTATTCGTCATTTTACAATAGATAAAGATTATAGTGTTACAAGATGTTAAAACTGAACAAACATTAATATAAAAAAATTCACTACGCACATGCGCGCGAATATCATCTACTGGGTATAATATAAGACTAATTCTTGAGTTCACTCTCTAGAGTGAACCTCTATGTTCACCAACCAATAGATTTACATTATTATATGTTGAATATATTTTAAAAAGAAAAAAAATATTGTCAAATTATATTAATTCTTTTTAAATAAAAAGATAAAAATAGATAAAAAATAGTAATAGTTACAAAAAAAGAAAAATTTTCTTATTTTTTAACATTTTAACACCATCAGCAAAACACCAAACCCTAAACCCTAAGTCCTAAACCTTAAATCCTTAAGTAAACCCTAAGCCCTCGAATAAATCCTAAACTTTAAATCAAAAACATTAAATACTAAATCTTAAAAACACTAAACCCTTAATCCTAACACCTAAACCCTTAGACAAATTTTAAACCCTTAAAAAATTTTATGGTTATCCAAGAGTTTAGTATTTAGGGTTTAGTGTTTTGCTGACGGTGTTTAAAATATATTATATTTTATTTATTTTTATCCAAGGATTTAGGAATTAGGATTAAGAATTTAATATTTTTAAAATTTAGTGTTTACTGTTTTTGATTTAGTATTTAAGATTTATCCGATGATTTATGGTTTATCAAAGAGTTTATGCTTTATTTAAAGGTTTATGATTTACCTACAGTGGCGGAGCCAGCCAAAGCATTCATCTGGGGTAGTATAAAGTATGAATCTAAACATGGAGAGTATTAGAAGAGATTTTAACATTTGCTCATAAATTTTCAAAAAGAAAATCAATGGAAATATTTTTTTTTTTTCAACAATTCATATGCGGCAGCAGCCCACCTTACCCCCTCTCTACATCCGCCACTGTTTACCCAAGCGTTTAGAGTTTAAGATTTAGCGTTTAGTGTTTTCTTGACGGTGTTAAAAATATTTAGAAAAAAAAATATTTTAGCAATTATTACTATTTTTATTTACTTTTATCCTTTTATTTTAAAACTATAATATAATTTGGTAATACTTTATTTCTTTTTCATAAATATATTAAATATATAATAAAACAACTCTATTGTTAGTGAACTTAGAGGCTTCTATCAAAGTTTCTGAAACGCTATTTTCCTCAAAAAATTCAACTTAAAATCCGGATTTTACTAAGAGCTTCACACTAGCATAAATTATGTTTATCAACCACAACGTTTTATTCTAACACAAACCTGATACTACTAATTTAAAAATAACCAATTCACTTTGTGCATTGCATGCAACTCATTATATATTGTTAATAACTACATGTATATTCCATCCATCAAATAAAAGTAAGCTATATTCCCATAATTTATTGTTTTCTAACTCGTCATCTAATATTTAAAAGATCAAGAGAACTCTCCAAATTGATATCTCACCATTTGAGAGTAAATAAAATTAACGTATATACAAATTTAAAAATCATTTAATTTTAACTAAAAGAAAATACATAAAATATATAAAACTTATACTTATTTTTTTGAAACTAAAACTTATACTTCTGTTTATAAACATCATAACTACCAGTATTAGTACTTATGAAACCTTCAAAAGTTTTTTATTCAATATACTATATTATCAATTTTTTTTTATTTATGCTATTTTAAAAATCATACAAGAGTTTGATAATAGTAGTCGGTTAACAAATAGTCGAAAATAGAAAAAGAATATAACAACAAAAATAGAGAAAACAAAATGAAAAAAAAAACTAAAATATAGAAGAATTTACAAGTACAAA